TACCCGCCTGCTGGCTTCCGGTTCAAGTAACGTATTGCAGCATCTTCCACCCTGCAAGAGAATTCTCAGTGAGTGTAAGAGAAGTGATGAAAAGCAGAGCAGCAGAGATTGTTACCATGGCTGGTTGAAGAACTCTGATCGGCCTTCTTTCTCAGCGTTTCGTCTTGCTTCTCCTGCTACAAGCTTCAGATCTTTGGTCTGAGATTCGATCAAGGCATTGGTGAATTCCACCGGTGACTGGCTAAACCCCAAGAAAAACGCTCGTCTCCTTCTGTGCTCGTGGATTTTCCTTAAGGCTCCGCATATGGCTTCATCACATGCCTCGATCTCTTTGTTCTTCTCTGCATTAGCCAGCAGATTGCAAAGCTCCCTTTGGACCGGTAATGGTATGTCCACTAGCACATCGTAACATGCTGAGATGGCTGGATTGTTCCCCGAAAGCTTGATCTCGTGTACAAGAGGAATGGGAGGCGGAGGTGATAGGTGCTGAGATATCTTATGAGAGAGCATAGTGAATTTCATCTTCTCTTCCCCAAAAAGTCTGTGGAGAGCAGCATCACAGTTAAAGAAAGAAGGGTCGTTAGGGTTTTGCAGTTTCCTGGCTTTCACGTAATGCCAGATTGCCGCAATGATCCTTGGGCGAGTGTCAAGCTCAATGCCCAAAACTTGCATCAAAGCAGGAGAAGTCTTGAACTTTTCAGGGACGTAATTCATCTCCAACAGTATCTTAGCTGCAAACTCCTGACACCCTATCCTCTTGATCTCAAACCCTTCCTGAGGAGCAGGCGATCGAGCATTCTCCCATTCGATCAGATGGCTCTCAGGATACAGGCTCTCGTCCAGGGATATCTTTAGCGTTTTTAAGAAAGACGAGAACTTGGGATAAAGAGGGTTTGAACTCTGAACTAATCCACCAGCGTGGTCAGGATCCATGATCCTGCCGAAAATCTTAAGAGTCCATGTGGGAGGGTCATTCCCAGGGATCTGGTCAGAGAAGGTGTTGAAAACGTAGATCCTAAGGGTCTTGTGTATGGAGGGAGGGTTTTTAAGGGAGTCTTGGATGTCAACTTTCTTTCTAAAGAGAGCTGCATCAACCCGAGACTCGAACTCAAGAAGCTGTGTGTAGAGAGCAGACTCGGGCAAGACGGCTGCAACGCGCTCCTGCAAGGACTTGTTGTGTTTCTTTTTCCGGGAAGCTGGAGTCAACTCTAGACTACTAGGAGGAGGTCCTCCAATGGGCGGTTTAGGTGGTGGGAACCTTTTAAAATTGAAAGTGGAACTTCCAGGAGAAGAACCCAAAGCACCAATCCCTTGGCCTTGAAACTGAGGTTGAAAGTTAGGCGGCGCCATGTGTGAGTGAGCAAACGTTCCAAAAGGTGAAGGCAGAGAGCTTTGAGGCTTTAGTGCGTTATTGAAGTCGTTATTCCCAGAATCCCAATTGGTGTCTCTTTCAACACTAGGACTTACTCAGTACAATTTTGGCTAGAACCTCTAAATCACAACACAATCCCTATCGAATTTTTGCCCTTTCTAAACCCTAATTTAGTGCAGGAGGAGAGAGCCCTAATCAATTTCCCCCAAATTCTTATAGAACACACTCTCTGGAAGAAAGAGAAAGACACAGAGGAGGACCTATCAATATGCCCACCCGAATTCTTCAAATAACCCAACCCATTCATTAAAGGCCCAACGGCCATGGTCCGTGGGTCCACAATTAATTGCTTAGGCATAGAGTTGGGTTTTAAAAGATCTCTCAATGGATTCGGACATTTACTCTCTAATTCCATGATTATAGGAAAGAATCAAATAGAATCTAATCCAAATTATTAACAAAAACTCTTTAATCTACACCAATTTATTTCCAGATAAATATTGTATCACTTTTTTTTTCCATTTCTCTGTTTGTTCTGTAAACAATGATATTGATCACGAATTTAGAAAAATAAAATAAAATGATATTGATCACGAAATAATTAACGTTTTTGGAAGGCAAAAAAAAAAAAAAAACTAAGATCATGACAACTTTTTCTCCTTTTTTTTCCAAATTACTTAATCAATATATCATCATTTTTTAAAAAAATCAATAATATATCATCTTTTCAGAAAGTTTTACAATCAATAATATTATTGTTATTAATTACAATGATTATTCTCAATAAATTAAAACCTTATTGATATATAGATTAATGAAATAATTTACAATAAAACACTAACGGGGATGTATTCAATAGAGGATTTGAAATGATTGTATTAAAATTTTAAATCCTATGTTATTCAAACATGAATTCTAAAAAGATTTCTAAAATCAAGTGTTATTGGATTAGTGATTTTAAAATCTACAATCAAATCTACTATTATTAGAAACATTTTAAGTTGTGGATTTGAAGTGATTTGAGTGACTTTGGGTGGGATTTCAGAGAATATCTTAGTTAAAAATTCAAACATCCAAATCCTATGGTTTTATGTGGGATTTGGGAGAATTTTAATAACAAATTTTCTAGTTCACCAAAATTCACCAAAATCATCTCAAAACTCATTAAAACTCAAATCACTCTAAATTCTTTCTTCAATACACCTCCCTAAGAATATTGTTCATCACCGGTCCAAGTCACCTTAACTTTGGGACCAGTTGGACCATTTTGACCAAGCACTTCTAAAGGAATTTTGTTTATGAGTTTTCGCAAACCTTTCCGTAAAAAGATGGGCAAAATCTTAGCTACAGAGTTGAGAAACTTGTCAATGTTGTAATGGACTCGAGGTCCCCATTTCCTAAAATAGTTCAGCCACGGTGGCTCAACCACGCCCGGCCCCGCAATCACTTCATATCCAATACTTGCGTCAAAGAATTTGTCGCTTCTTGCCATGTCGTTCCTTATTCCACTTTTGCCGCCGCCTTGCAACACGACTCCAGGTTTGGAGAACATTGCATGGCCATGGAGAGACGAATATACTACTGGTTTGTTTCCACCTTGTATGAACTCTAGATCGCATGCATCCACTAAAGTTCCTCCACTGTGTTCAGAAAAGTAAACACGCCATAACTCACCATTGAAGTTGCTGATGCGCAATGTAACATGTTCCCAGTCTCCAACATGCTCGCCAATATTTCCTAGCGACATGCTCTTGATGAATAAAAATTTCAAATGTGCATTTCCGTTATAGGGGAAGAATAGCCATACAACAATATCTGTGAAAGTAGCTCCAAACATTGGTTTAATGTGTAGATACACCTTAGTGCTCCCTAAATCTCCCCTCTTAACTTTTTCTCTTGCCTTTTCATCGACTAGATAATCTAACCAAAATAAGTCATCATTGCAACCACCTTGTGGAAGGTTTGAACCATTTGGATGTATCAGGACGGGGTTGGATTCGTTTCCTTTCTGGTATAGCAACGCACCATTAGCGAAAACCCAATCGACGGAGGAAGGAAGAAAATCTTCTTGTGGGTGTAAATATATCCAAGGAGAATATGTTTGAAACAAAACTCTAGTTTGGTTTTCGCTTGGCATGCTCGACAAGTCAAATTTTATATTTTTCAAGCAGAATAAAGGAGGAGGGAGAAGTTTTAGGTTTTTGAAACTGAATGTCCCTGTGTACACACCTGTTGCTTCTACTCCTCTGGTGGCCGGTCTCAAACTAGAAATAGTCATATCTTTTATCCTCCATACCCATGTATCAGCTTCACTTTTTTCTGTAAGTTCAGATCTAACGCAGTTAATAGAATCTTGTCCCAAAGAGGGCTTCACAGGAGAAGTAGTGACATATAGACCAACCGCTTGATACCCATTAGGACATAGGGGCTGCCAAAAATACGCTGGCCCATCTTGTTTAATACTAATCAGTGATGTAGTGTTTCCAACTTCAGTGTAGTCGACTGGTGGTCTTAAATTACTTCCGGCTACGTCTTTTGCGACAAGAATCCAACCGAAAAGCTGTCGGTTGTTGGGTTGTGCATAGAAGCCAAGTTTTAAAAAGTTACGAGGAAGAGTAGTAGGTTCGAAGATGCTGACTCCCATGTTATTCGGCCCTCCTTCATAAGTTCTCCACACTCTGTGTGATGTTGAGTTTGAGATAGAGAGTTGAGTAACCTCAAGACCTCCCAAATCAATGCTTCTTTTGCCAAAATTTCCACCATCGGAAGGCATACTAGGCAAAAGACTAGGAGATTTAAACGTTGTTTCCACCGGTAAACCATTAGACAAAAGATATGGATATTTGAATGTATATCCTAAAGAATTTACATTGGAACTGTTGGTCAAGAGGTTAGTTCCAGTTTCAGCCCATGACAACTGCTTAACAAATAGAGGAACAAAAAACAATAGAGATTTGAGGTAGGTTTCAATCAAGAATTGCATTTTCTTTGGTTACTTAATCATTTTAAGATTAGGTGAGCAACCTTCATTCCCTACATATATAAATTATAATTTTATGACAGAAAAGGAACACATGAAACAGTTGATGACTACAAAATACAATTATGCAAAAAAACCAACAACTGATAAAAGAAAAAAATGTTGCATATTTGCTGTATGAAAAGAAATCTATAATTAACATAGAAATACACAATGGATGTAAATATTTTTACAAAATTTCCAAATTTATTCGATAATCTTAAAAAATTCTGAATGTATTATATTTTTGTGATAGTCAAAGCAACATGACATCATAGATGGCTACGAGGAGATTCTGAATTTGATTGTTTCTTAAATAAGTAATCACATCAGATTTTTTTTTTTTGCTTATTAATTTTCAACCACACCATATATATTATGGGAAAATTAAGACAAGATATCCATATAATTATTATTTCTTCTCTTTTTTTTTCAAGATTTTGGTCTGAATATAAACAACTTAACATTGTTTGTGTTAATTTGATTTTTTTTTTTTGAATCAGTAGTCATCTTAATTAAAAGTGTTCTGAGTCCTTTTTAAAAAACGGATTGCACTTATGCCAATTCCTATCTTGAATCCTTGAAAAATCTGATATGTAACAAAATAAAAGTGTAACCAATTGTAATAAATTGTTTATCTTAATCAATTAGACACGAATGAATGAAAACTTAGTCATCAGCGGTCCAAGACCTTTTGACTTTGGGTCCAGTGGGACCATCTTCTTCAAGCACTTCACGAGGCATTTTGTTAATAAATTTTCTGAATTTTTTCCGCAAAAGTCCCGGCAATGACTTTGCGATACCATCAAGGTTCTTCTGAATGTCATGTCGGACAAATGGTCCCCATTTCCTAAAATAGTTGAGCCACGGTGGCTCCTCAATGCCCGGTCCTGCAACCAGCTCATAAGCAACACCTGCGTCAAAGAATTTGTCACTTCTTGCCATATCGTTCCTTATGCCGTTTCCGTCATCGCCTTGCAACACAAGTCCTGGTCTTGAGAACATTGCGTGTCCGTGAAGAGACGAGTAGCTCACAGGTTTGTTTCCACCTTGAAACTCTAGATCGCATGCCTCCACTAGAGTTCCCCCACTGTGCTCAGAGAAGTATGCGCGCCATAACTCTCCGTTGAAGTTGCTGATGCGCAACGTAATATGTTCCCAGTCTCCAATATGTTCGCCAATATCCCCCAGTGACAGGCTCTTGATGAATAAAAACTTGAGGCGGGCGTTGCCGTTGAAAGGGTAGAATATCCACACGACGATGTCAGTGAAAGTGCCTCCAAACATTGGTTTGATGTGTAGATACACTTTCGTGTTTCCTAAGTCTCCCCTCTTAACCCATTCCTTTGCGTTCTTATCCACCGGATAGTCTAACCAGAATAAACCATCATCCGAACCGCCTTGCGGAAGGTTTGAACCGTCCGGCTGCACAGGGACGGGGTTGGATTCGTTGCCTCTCTGGAATAACAGGGCACCATTAGAAAAAAACCAATTGACAGAGGAAGGAAGAAAATCTTCATCTGGATGCAAATATATCCAAGGAGAATACGATTGAAACAAAACGCTAGTTTGGTTATGGCTTGGCATGCTAGACAAGTCAAATTTTGTGTTTTTCAAGCAGAACAGAGGAGGAGGAGGGGGAGGGACGCTTAGTGGCTGGCAGCTGAATGTCCCTGTGTGCACACCTGTTGCTTCTGTTCCTCTGTTGGCCGGTCTCAAACTAGAAAGAGTCATTTCGTTTGTCCCCCAAACCCATGTATCCGTTTCACTCTGTTCCGTAAGATCGGATCGAACGCAGCTTATGGATTCTTGACTTAACGAGGGCTTCAGAGGAGAAGTAGTGACATATAGACCAACCGCTTGATACCCATCGGGACATAGGGGCTGCCAAAAATAAGCAGCCCCGTCTTGGTTGATATTCATTGATGTAGTGTTTATGACTTCAACGTAGCCAACGGGTGGCCTCAAGCTATTTCCAGAGACGTCTCTTGCAGCAAGAACCCAGCCGAAAAGCAGACGGTTGTTGGGTTGCGCATAGAAGCCAAGAGTGAAAAAGCTGGGAGGAAGATTGATAGGTTGGAAGATAGTGAGTCCCATGCTGTTGGGCCCTCCCTCGTATGTCCTCCATACTCTCTGTGATGTTGAGGTTGAGATGGAGACTTGGATCACCTCAAGACCTCCCAGATCTATCCTTCCTTTCCCAAAATTTCCACCACCCGAAGGGATAACAGGTAAAGCAGATGGAAACGTGAAGGCCGTCTCCACAGGTAAGCTTGTAGACAAAAGAAATGGATCCGCAGATCTGCTCACTGTGGGATTCACATCGGAGTTGCCTTGTGCTTGGATCCAACACACATGGTTAACAATTAAAATAACAAGAAAACAGAAAAGTTGAAAGGCTTTTCCAATAGATGATTGCATTCTACTCTCTTTTTAGTTAATAATAGATTGCAACATTTAGGATTTAGGTACCCTTCAACCTCTGGATCCTCCAATATAGATTAGATACTATTATAGATTTTTAGTCAAAGAGAGTGTTTTGGTAAGGAATATGTAAAATGGGAAGATTTAATGCAGTCAGACATATTTATAGATGTTTTAAATTTGTCCGTTTATTTTGGGATAGTCTAAGAAGTAACATCATTTTATTTTATGGTAACCATCTAATTCTAGCATCAAATGTTCAACTTCTTTATCTATGTTTATCTGGCAAAAACAAAATATACTATCATTTACGAATAGCAAGGGGTTTGAATATATATTTTTATCTTTGGATCAGTGTTGACTTTAATTTGTTTATAGAAGACAAATGTAAGTTTTTCATATCTGACTTTTAATACATTAAGTGACTCTATGCATGATCTTAACTAGACATTTAAAAATCTAAGTTTAATAGTTTAATTACAACTTTTCATAATATCTGATTCTCAATCTCTTTTTGAAATAGATCCTATAGTTAATTACGCCTAATATTTGTCTCAATCTAAAGTTTTATGCACTAATCTGGGGAAACTTTTATAATATTGAACTTTTGTTTTATTATCTTATTGAGATTTGTACATAAATGTGTTTTCCCTACGTCAGAAAAGTAACTGTTGTAGGATTTTCACCCTTATTTCATAATGGTACGTAATTTTAAAATGTTGGAGGTGATTATCCATATATGATTTTTTTTTTAGTATTTTAGGTATTTTTTTTTTAGAACGTTGCGACGAATACCAACGTTCTAATAAAGATTTAAGAAAGCACATTACAATCAGTTAACTAAAATCTGACGATTAGTACGTACATTCCAACTCGGTTTCCCAGTAAACATCCTTGACAAACATTTAATTTCACACTAAAAGGCATTTCGAATTTCCACCGGAGATTCCGCATCTTTCCGTTGCTCCTTTACAAATTATCTTATATGAAAAAATAATGCATTACAACTGTCATAAGCATTATTATGACCTGAAAAGAGAACAACATTGTTCGATCCTTAGGAAAACAACAGTAAAGGACAAATTAAGAAACATAATGTTTAATAATAATTTAATATGAAGTTTTTTTCTTTTTTTGTTTTCTTTAGCGTTGGACGTCAGTGGGGGCATGACCACTCATCATATTCCGTCGCCGATCAGTGAAGCTACTACAGGAAACCAAACGCGGAACGCAGCGACCGTGAGCAGCCGATCTGACTCTCTTGAATTTTTGCTGTCTTTCTTTGTTGTTATTATAAGGAGTGGCCGGCGCAGAAGATCTAGTAGGTGTTCTTATCCAGAGACACGTTCTTGCTTTGCCTTCTGCCACGTAGTCTTCTTCCTCTTCATCCTCGTCTTGTGTCTCTTTAAAGAGTTCGAGGAGCCTCTTCTTGTTATCTGTAGGAGACGGTTCTTCTTCTTCATGGTTTTTCTCCTCTCCTTGAGGAGTTTGGTCACAAAATTTGTGATGCACCGGTGTTGTTCCTCGCGACGGCGTAAATTCTGTAGTAAACTCAAATTAGATTGGCCCTGAAAAATTCATTGTTAATTTTATATATGAAAGACGATATACAAGACAAAACGTACCACCATCAACGCTCATGAAATCATCATCACAGTCGGAATCAAGCCACCCCCGTGAATCGAAAAATATCATTTCCTCTTTACTACCTAAAGAAATAATCCAAATCATTGTTATATATTTTTTGTGGTAACGGAGCGCAAAGAAGAGGATATATACTAATTTTAAAATTGTAGGTTATGAGTGAATGTAGTATACTTAATTATAGTTGCACACCTAAATATACGGTTGTAAATTTCTAGCAATACATTTTGTAAGCGCATGCATTTATCAACATAAAGAAAAATAAGCAAATGGAAGTAGGAACTTGAAGTATGGTCCATGACACATCTCTCGCTAACTGTCTATATACGCGCGCCTTGAAAACATTCTAACCTATATCGTACGCCACCGTTGTCCACCATGTGCTTGTAAATGCTACTGTAGCAGATATATAGAAGACCCGGTTGCACAATCACCCATATTTATTTAATTATGATCACCATGATTCATATATAAGTCCCAACAATTTTATGAAATTATGACTTAATATATAAGTATACGATTTTGTAATTGAAGAGTACTAACACCTACCTCTTTTGTGCCTACATTTTGATTGGGTCTGAAGAAGCTAACGACTTTACATTTAAAGCAACCAATCGATTACAGCCATCAAATTACTATAAATATAGTATATACTACTACTAGTATTCGTTAATTAAACCCTTATAATTATTATTGTTTGTAGACAAAGCAAAAATAAAATAAACGCCGAAATGAAAACTAAATCAAACGCAAAGAATAGTTATGAGCGTATGTATTATAATGATCAAATAAAATACCTGAATCCGGGCGACCGGAATCTGTGGGAGGGATCCCGTTGATGGTGGAGGAAGTTATCATGACGTCAGTCTTGAGAGGTGATGTGGTGTCGGGTTTAGAGATGAAAGCGGCCAGCTTAACGACGGAATCAGAGGCGGAGGAGCTCTTGCTTTGAGAAGAGGAGACACACGAACCCATAAGATGATGATCTGAAAGAGATATATAGAGAGAATGATGTGGTTTAGTTGGGAGAAAGAGAGGGAAGATATGGGTTTAGAGAATCTAAAAGGCATAGAGAAATGGAAGACGAAGAAGCAAAGATGGGATCAGGAAAGAGAGAGTGATTGATGTATCAACTTCAAAGTGAAGTAAATGGAGCAGTTTCCGATTCGGTAAGTGTCTTAATTGTCTCTTCAGTGAATTCGTATTTAGGTTATGCCTTCCTATTGGTCCTAACTATCATATTGTGGACCCTCCCCCCCCTCCATTTTCCTAATTTTCTTTGATGGTGTTGCGTTTCATGCTCTATCGCATCTAATTGGAAATATCTAGATTTTTTTTTTTGAAATATTAAGTTTCATCAAGTTTTGTTTTATATTAAAGGGATATGACAAATCATTTCCATAATTAAAATGAAGAAAAAAGATCATAAATCGTTGACCCACAAAAAAAGAAGAAGAGACAATTGGGCCAACTGTTTTGGGTGGTATCTAAATGGGCCCAGCTCATTATAATACGATCCATTAAAACTCGAGAGAAGTCTCTGCGATTGCAAAAAATCACCCCAACAAAAAAATAATTATGACGATAACTCCACGTCAACACAATGGCTGATGCCACGTCATGACGCATGTTGACGATAACTCCGAGATCATCCGGGTTTGACCCAGCAGCTGCCGGATCCCTTTTGTTGATCCGTCGATGCTGTCATCGGATCGGACTTCGCAAATCTAGCGGCGAAGGCCAATCGGATGATCGATCTGGGCTTCACATGGACATTATGGTACCCACCTTTTTTTTTTGCATGAATAATGAATGAATCTCTGAATTCGGGTCAAAACTTACACAATTCGTGAAATCTTCTGATTAATTGTACACAAGACTCTGTGATTTTGGGAATCATGATTTCTTTTCACAAAATGGAAACTAGTTGTCGTCTTGTGTTCCTTTTCCTAATCTGTTAGTCTGATTCATCTTTTGATGTTGACAAAGAAACTTGTATCTGCTCTTACAACGATACTTATGGTCCTGTTATTCCATTTGCAGGACGGGTACACATTCGCTGCCTTACCTTTGGATTCTTTCTTATTACCATCCTGCCGGTTCAAACCCAGCTAAGTAACATTTTTGGTTCAAGATAGTTGTTATAACTCTGTCAGGCATTTTGTCCCGAATCTAACCATTGGTGCTCCTCTCATCGAGAGTTTGCGAAAGCACACAAAGTAACACTCTCCTTCCCTTTAAGCTGTCCTCTTAGCATCATGTTCAAGTTTAGTCATGTCTGAACCTAAAACTCTTATCATTTTCCTTCATCATAGTGCATATCTTGATTGCCACCTTATGGTGACGAACCCCATCGATTACGTGGAACACATGGCTAAAGCTGGTGCTTCTGGTTTCACATTCCACGTCGAGGTGGCCAAAGGTATATTAGCACCTTTCCAGACTATCCTCATCTTTTACGGTTTTGACTTGAATTGCTTATTTCAGAGAATTGGCAACAACTTGTCTGCTGGGATGAGGCCAGCTGTGGCTCTAAAGCCTGGAACACCTGTCGAACAAGTCTATCCTCTGGTATGAGTTTCATCCTCTCTTTGGCATTATGACTGTTCCACGGTGCGTTCAGGTTATCATGCTTGGTCTATGACAGGTTGAAGGAACAATTCCGGTTGAAATGGTTCTTGTGATGACTGTAGAACCTGGATTTGAGTTTATGCCTAACATGATGGGCAAGGTTATGTTGGGTCTTTTATAAGTCTTTTAGCTAATAGTTTTTGTATTTTTCCTTTCAAATGGAAGCTGCACGTGGTGGCGGTGGTGTGCTGAGACGGCGTTGTATTCTCATCGGAATATGGTACCTCTTCGTTTCTCTCAGGGTTAAAAAGTTGGTCCTTAATGTTTTAAAGTCATTTCGTGAATCCTGATACATAATCTTGGTTCCAAGAACTGTATATCGTCATTTTGAGTTATTAATTCCCTCACACACAGACTATTTCATAGGAATTGTGTACCAAGGGTAGTGTGCAATGTATGATTAGTAATTTAATAAACGTATTAGGTTCAGTCATTTTAGAATGGTTAGAATTATGAATACAACGTAAAATATCCCATTGTTAAGTAGTAATTTTGTAGTTACCTCTCTTAAGATTCCCTTGTTTTTATTTTTGGGGTCAACTTAGGGATTTATTGCAAGATGGACCTAAGAGTACTTAGCCTTTTAGCACCTTGTCGTTGCTTTGTATGGCATGTCTTTTCAGTTTCTTGATAATGTTTTTCTGGTTTTCCCCGACTATCAATTCCCAAATCATTCTCCACACACTATGTTTTGGATTTTTACATGACCAAACCCGTTGGATCTTAATGTTTGGTATAATTTTTTTGGATTTGTTGGCTTAAAGCCTTTCAAGTATACTTATCACGTTTCCTAAAACGATGATTCAATTTTAGAATGATCTTGGCCGAAGACAATAATACTAAAGTATGTTGTCATTATGTCAAAAGTCCAAATTGGTTTCAACTACAATGTACACTTAGTGTGAACTGATGATCAGGTCTCTCAACCAATATTACTAGACGTTTTTGAACTTTGTGGTTATCACTTTGCAAGCTACTGTAGATACAAGTTAATAAAATTTAGGTTTAAATCAATTCTGAAAGTCTAGATCTCCGTACTCAAATAAAACTATTGCACATGCTTTTGAGACCCGATACAAATCTTTTTATCATAAAGATAAAGATACATAGGCCATGACTCCAAGATGATACCCCAACAAAAAACTAAAAAGTGGGTCCTAACTCCGCCTAAAACTTGTTCCGAAACAATACAATCTTCTTAGGACAAAGAGAGTTTGTACCATTTTCGATTCACTTAGCTTGGACTTTGCACTTTGTCAATGTTGTTCAGTTTACGAAGACAGGTCCCAAGCACAAGAAGAAGTTTAATTAGTTTTTTACTTTGGGATTCATAGCCACCCCTCTTGTCGACAAACCTCCAAGGTTCCAATGACCCTTTTTTTGCTTTCCATTAAAAATATCATTAACCAATAGAATGGTTTAGGGTAATAATATAACCATTCTAATCTACTGTTTAAATATAACAATTATGTAAGTGGTGGGGAATGTTGAGTCTTTGCTCCCAAGTTCGAATATCCGTTGAGAAAGGATGATTTACGTGTAAACAAATATTATCAATTGTTGATTCCAAACTAGATTATGGTACAAGGCCTTGAACTTTCACAAAAAAAAAAAAGGCAGTCATGTGTACTCTGTCTTATTAATACAGGTTTATTTTTTCGCCTGACAATTAACATGAGACATTTCTCAGAAGAGAAGGAGAAATCATCCCTTATATCTTATTCAATAAAATGATAAACTTTTAAATCCATGATTCCTCTTCTTTGCCAATATATAAATACAAGCAATAGATTGTAAATGGGGGAGCTCTAGAAGTCGACATGGCTATTTCAGTTAGTAAGCAGTTCAAAAAAAGTCTTGTAGTGATCTTGCTCTTCATCTCCTTATCATCGCTCTCTCCAACTTCAACTTCACACAGCTGTGACCCTGTACAAGAAGAAGAAGAAGAAGCCTCCTCCTTCGGTTACGTTTGCCACTCAAACCTTCAAAAGTGCCACACTTTCGCCATTCTCAGAGCCAAATCTCCTTTCAACTCCATCTCCAACCTGAGTTACCATCTTGGTCTAGACACAGAGGCAGACGAGTTTGTTCTGCAAGGTCAGTTACTGTTGATCCCAGTTGAGTGCAGGTGTAATGGAAGCATCTACGAGGCCAATCTCATTAAAACTTGCGTTAAAGGAGACACCTTTCGCTCTGTCTCTCAGTCTCTGCAAGGCTTGACCTCGTGCCTGTGAGAGCCAACACTTTTTGCCAACTTTGTCTTATTCAAATTACTGAAATTTATGTTTGTTTATCGACTCTGTGCTGTTTTCACTGCAGATCTATCAGAGAGAAAAACCCAGATATTTCCGAGGACAAGATTGGCGACAACGTTAAGCTGCGTTTGGCGATCAGGTGCTCCTGTCCACAAGAAGGCGTTTCAAACACTAGTTTTCTTGTGACGTATCCGGTGGGAGTCCGCGACAGCGTTACAAGCCTGGCGGTTAGGTTCAACACAACAGAGGATGCCATTGTCTCTGCAAACAACAAATCTGGTGTCGTTCCACTCAAGCCTGCTCTCATCCCTCTTGATCACAAACCAGAGAAACCCGAGAATCGCCAGAAAAGAAAACCATCCAAGGAGAAACGGTCAAAGATGAAGCTCATGATCGCTGTGAGCAGCGCCATTGCTGGAGTTTTCGGTCTTGTCACTCTCATGGTGTTTGGTTACTTACACTGGAAGAAAGAGACGCAGATGCAAACGCAAACGCAAAAGTGGATTAGCAACAAAGACCCCGAGACGCGGCAGCTGAGTCTAAGCATCCGAACCACGAGTGACAAGAAAATCTCGTTTGAAGGGTCACAGGACGGTTCCATCTTGGATTCTCACAACACTGTCGGCACCACAACGCCGCGAAAACCTGTTCTGGAGATGTACGCGTTTGAAGAGTTAGAGAAGGCCACTGAGAATTTCAGTTCAAGCAATCACATCAAAGGTTCGGTTTATTTCGGTTCGCTCAAAGGCAAAGACTTGGCTATAAAGCAAGTCAGTGCAGATGCAGTGAAAAGGTTCGATTTCGGGCTTCTGAACGATCAGTCACACTACTATAACCACAATCTGATTAGGGTTCTTGGGACATGTTTTCCAGAAATCGATCAGGATTCTTATCTGGTTTTCGAGTATGCAAGGAATGGGTCCCTGTGGGATTGGATTCAGAACAAATTGGCCATCAAGAATCAATTCATCGAGTCTTGTTACTGTTTCTTGGCATGGAAACAGAGGATCAAGATATGTCACGACGTCGCCATCGCGTTAAAGTATATGCATCGGATCAACTATGTCCACGGCAACATCAAGAGCAGGAACATCTTCTTGAACGAAGATCTCAGAGGTAAAGTCGGAAACTTTGGGATGTCAAAGTGCTTAACCAACGAATTAGCGACGGAAGAGAACCTTATAGAAGGTTCCCTGTCTCCAGCTTCTGACGTATTCGCTTATGGGATTATCGTAATGGAGGTTTTGTCTGGACAAACCCCAGAGATGTTGCTTGGATTGCAAGAACAAGAGACAACATCCCTTGGGATAGAAGAAACTTGTGTTTCCGAATGGAGCAGATTGAGAAGGGTTCTCGGGGACAAGGAAAAGCTGAGGGAAGTGATGGACAGCACATTGGGGGAGAGCTATTCGCTTGATTCCGCATTTGAACTCGCAAGTATTGCAAGAGATTGTACTGCAGAAGAAGCCGAGTCAAGGCCGAGCGCGGCTGAGATAGCAGAGAGGGTTTCAAGATTGGTGGATGACGATGAAGACGAAGAAGATGAAGCAGTAACAGAGAGAGAGAGAGTACCTTAATTTCAGAGAGTTCATACAAGCCTTTGGTAAAGAAGAGTAGTATAGATTAAAATGATATTTGTAACTATATAGATTAAGTTATTGCATCATGACCCTAAACTCATCAAAGTTAATAATTCCATCCCTATTAAGATCGAATTGTGAAATCATAACCTCGCAATCCTTGAGACTTTTGGACTCACCCAACAAACTAAGCATCCTCTTCAAACTTTTTGGTGTGATGCCTTCACTACTCTCTTCATACAAGTTGAAAGCTTCCTTGAGGTCCTTCTCCTTGTCTGCCTCATCTCCTTGTTCCACCAGCTTCACGAATTCCTCTAGCTCCAACGATTTATCAGTGGACTCTGGATTAGGATTTGTAGTATCTTGGTCAGGTACTGCACGTTTGCCAGACTTAATAGCTTCGACGCATCTTTCGATGGAAGAAAGGGATACCTTCCCTTGGTGGCTCTTGTCAAAGCAGCTAAAGACCCGTTGATAGTCGTCACGTTTGTTAACGTTCTCACTCTTCATGGAAGATGAAGTTGAGAGAAAATGATTATAGTTTGATGAAGACTAATATTTCTTAACTTTGGCAAAATATATAGAGAAGATGAGGAGAGACGTTTGGAAAACGTTGCAATGTAAGACAAACCATATATACATTCATTGTGGACCATACTTTTGTTTTAACACACGAGGACGAACTTGTTAATTTGTTAACGGCGCTAGCTACAAGGAAGAAACGCTTTGTTCCCGCGGCTTCTATGTTGACAAGTTTCTTCTATTTCTGTTTTTTTTTTTATGAACTAGAGAGTAAGTTCGTCGTTATTTCGTTATTACTAATATACGACGACGAAGATTCCGTTGACTTTGAATAGTCTTCGCTTTGAATATATATTAATTATCTTGCTTTATATTCTAGTGTGTTTTTTTGGGTGGTTAACAATGGTTGACAATTCCGGTCGTTAGTTGGGCCTAAAGTAAGAGAGGTTTGGGCCATATGGACTTAATAATAAACGTGGTTCAATGTAGTCCATTCGAGGGCAACAACAAATAAGAAGTGGACATGTGGTCAGTGGCAATTCCGTGGTTTCGAGTGTAAAGGAGTGGCAATTTAATAAAGAAAGAAAGAAAAGAGAGTGCCAGCTTAAACCTCGGCCCTCCGTCTCCGTTCAAACCCCTCTCTCTCTCTCTCTCTGTGGCCATTCTTTTCTCTTTCTCTCTGAATCCGCCGCCACGCCTTCACCATGGCTTGGCTGAGCCGCCTCAGAGGAGTTGTGTCGGTAACAAGGCTCGCAGCGACGCGTCGATCGTTTGGATCAGCGGCCGCCTTGGAGTTTGACTACGACTCCGACGACGAGTACTTGTACGGAGATGATGGCCGTTGCGCGGAGCCGAGGCTTGGGTTGGATGGATCGGGGCCGGATAGAGGAGTGCAGTGGGTGCTCATGGGAGCCCCTGGAGCTTGGAGGCACGTCTTCGCCGAGAGGCTCTCCAAGCTTCTTGAAGTTCCTCACATTTCCATGGGATCGCTTGTCCGTCAAGAACTCAACCCTAGATCTTCTCTCTACAAGGAGGTACTGTTTAAATTGAATTGATTCGCGTTCTCTTTCCCTTTTTATCTTTTGCTTTTCTTTTTTTTCCGCTGAAAATCATTTTGAATGATAAGATGTTTTGATTAGAGTTAATTGTCTAGATTATGATCACCTAATGTGAATTCTTGCTGTTTATAGAGTTTGATTCCAAGTGCTTTAAATGACTCATTAATGTTGTTGACAAATTACATAGCTTAGCCTGAATAGTTAATCAAAGAAACTTGTAAAGACAGAGAACATAACATTTGTTCCGGTTTAGGGGTTTTGTGGTTTGTAATGTTTTATTTTATTCGTTAAACTAATCAAAATTTATGGTTTAATTATAGATTGCAAGTGCTGTAAATGAACGAAAGCTTGTTCCAAAGAGTGTTGTGTTTGCGTTGCTATCAAAGAGGCTCGAAGAAGGCTATCTTAGGGGGGAAACTGGTTTCATTCTTCATGGCATTCCCCGCACTCGTTTTCAAGCCGTCAGTTTCTTTTCAAACAGTGTTTTGAATCTGTGAAGCTCTTATTACATTTAATAGAGATCCTCAATTCAATTGTGTTTTAGTGATTCCTCAACTTGTTCTTCTGAATGTTTTGCAGGAAACTCTTGATCAAATCGCTCAGATTGACCTCGTTGTCAATCTTAAATGCTCTGAAGAGCATCTGTTAAACCAAAATACTCTAAACGAAACAGCTCTGCCTCGGCAAGAGTTCCTCGGCTCTATGTTACACTCACCTGTTGCAATCAATTCTGGGAGGGAGACTCTCGGTGTCTACGCACAGGAGGTATTTTTCTGGTTTATCATCAATGTCTTTGTTATACATCTAGTTTACAAGGTGGTTTCAGCTGATTTTTTTTTTTTTTTGTGGTGAATCAATCAGGTGAAGCCCCTGGAAGAATACTACAGGAAGCAGAGGAAACTTCTAGACTTTCATGTTGGCGGTGCCACATCAGCAGAAACATGGCAGGGCTTGTTGGCAGCTTTACATCTGAAGCAGGTGAATTTGCCGACTTCACAGAAGCTGACTTTGTGATGATGAACTACACAGTCATACTGCAAAGGCTAGAGTTAAATCCTCTTGAGCTTTGCTTTATAAAATTTTGATCTTTTTCTTTCATTTTATGGGTCTTTTTTTTTTTTTTTTTTTTGTTTTCAAAATCTGTAATTCAAGTTTTGCGAGAGATCCAAAGTGACGAGGATGATACAGTAGAGCTTGTAATGAGTCTATTATATATACAACAAAGATTTTCCATCTATGAAAAGTCGTTCCTATTTCACAATAAGACTGACATGATTTGCTTCTCTTGCAAAAGCCTCGTGCACGTCTACATGTTCAATCTGCGTGTTATTCAAATTGTATATATGTCAAGCTCAAACTTCAGTACTGTTACTACTGTCTTCATTCTATACATTGGCAACACCAAAAACAACGAACTGACAAAAGATTTTTGACACGAGAGACATTTACAACCAGACACAAGTGGAAACTGAAAGACAAAACACATCAATGTCTGATCATTCGCCGTTCATCCAACACTCCCTGAGAAGTTGATACCTGACTATCTCATCTGAACCACCATTATTGATCTTCTTAGAACCTTCTTGTTGAAGAACAACAACAGCCAACGGTGAACTCAGCTCATCAAGCTCGTCATCGCTTGTGTACGCTTTTCTTGTAATTGAAGACCTGATTCTGCTTAACTCCGGCGCTTGAGGCTGTCCAAAGTCTCCAATGATGGTGGAGATTGAAGTCCGTGAAGGTGGAGAGTACACTGGAGGAGGTGCAGTGCACGGATAGCTTGTGATCATACTCTTCTCAGCTTCCTCCTACAAGGGCCATCCCGTTTCCGTTAGCAAAATTAGCTGCTTAGCCTTACATCCATCATTAAAAAAATGGTCTCACCTCGGATTCAAGAGATTTAAGTACAGCATCAGGAACTGGGTCAGGGCAAAATTCATCTGGCACAAAATTATTCAACACTCTCTTGATCAACGGAGAACCAAACATCGGGCAAACCTTCACAATGACAAGATATATATATATATATATTATATCAAGTAATAGAAAGAAGACTAGATAAAAAGTGTTGCGAGTTCTGTGTTGCATTTGCACCTCTTTTCTCACCGAACGGTTGAGGAGCATATCTTTTGGAAGCATCATTAGATCACTTAACGCCTTGAGAAGATTGAATGTCTTGAACGATCTATCAACATAGCTATTCTCATCGCTGCTGTCATCATCTTCGTCATCAATGCCGAACAGATCAGTGAGCCACCTTGACCAGTTTCCTATCTGTTTGAAATTAGAAATGCATGAGCTTTACAGAGACTACAATATAATAAGCCCTGCCAAGGTATTGAGTTGAGTACACTGACCGAGTTTTTCAGCTGGGCACCAGAACCAAAACTTGATGTTGTAGAAGGAATTGGCAAGACTCTCAAATCTGCAATGGGATCAGATACAGGGTCTGTTGGGAAATTGTCATCAGAATCACGAAGGATAGCATTGAACATAGCAACATCTAGCCGAGCCACGCACTGTTCCATTATCTGCGTTACAAAACGTGGACATTCGTTTGTGAATCAAGAGTAAGGTCCAAAAGTGACAAACTCAAAAGGAGAAATGTTTACCAGACGCGCAGGCACGGGTAAGCAGCCACATTCATGCCCACTACCTCGCAGAGGGCATAAACGTTCGTGTGCCTCCCTGAATGCCTTTTTCCAAAGCTCTAATGAGAAATCACCTTGTTCTTGGTTCATAGAACTCGGCGTCCTACCAAAATTTTTCTTTGATGCAGAGCCATTGGCTTTATCAAACTCTCTAGTTGATGCTGCTGAAGACTGCATACGCGGTGTCAAAGTCTGCAACCAAAGGAAAAGAACATGTGTATTATAATTGGTTCAGAGAATGAAAAGATGAAACAGGGAGAACAGAGCAACATTACCTGCCACCAAATTGATTCTACGACGCGTGAGAAGATCCAAGCTTCAACCTTCTCAAGCGCTGTTATGAAAGTTACAGGGTCATCACAGGCACCAAAACTCTCAATGTCCTTTTTGCTCAAAGGGGAATCTTTCCACTTCAAGGATGATCGTTTTTCAGTTTCTCTTTCAACCTTCTGTTTCCTTGGTCCAGGACCAGCCGAAACAGGCAGTTCTTCTTCTGCACTAGTATCACTAATGATTGTCCTCAGAACGATAGTGTTTGACAACCAAAATGTCAATCTGCAATCCACGGACAACATACAAAAAATTTTTAACTCTGAGAAAGTTCACTCAGAATAGTAATTATGCAAAGAAGAATATTACCATACCTGGGGACATCGTTTCCACACGCTTTGGCAACAAGAACTAACCCGGAGACAGCACTTTTAGCTGCATTGGCTCTTCTTGAGAGATGAGTTTCTCTACAAGCATGAAGATACAGCCTCAAAAGACGTCTAGCAGGTGCATGGACTTTATTTGATGAACTTCCATGCTCTGCAACCACGGAATAGAGAGCTGCTTCAATGGCTGCAGCCTCACGTAACTCACCCTCAAGCTTCTGTACTCTACTTTCCAAGTTCTTGATTTTGTTCTCCAAAGTTGTGTCGTATGTAGACTTTGGATACACCTTAGCTTCTTTTCTATCACTGGATAAACTCAACCGGCTATTGCTCCGGTTAATATCCAGGGATGATCGAACAGACTTCACCTTTCTTGATTTCTCAACTGTACTCTCTGGTTCCTGATCACTGATCAAACCTTGACTATTCTCAGAGGCTCGAGGCGAAGTCTCAGAGAGATTGTCAATCTGTAAAGGCATAGACTTGGTATCTCCGTTATTTTGCTGACTGTTAGTTACCAGCTTAGAGCTCTCATTGGTATCAGTTCTAAACACATTAGCACAGTCCTCCAGCCCAGACACAGAAGTGTTGGGTGCAGAATCAGGAATGTCCCCTGGGAGATAAAACACAGAAGATAGATCTACTGACATGGAACGTGATGGAATCTGGTCAGAAATTTCTCCTTGTCTGGTCTCTGACACTGATTGTGATCTCTCGTGGCCATTTCCTCTGGGATCCTTGTTTATTCTCTCATGTTCTTCCTGAAAATAAGACATGAAAGCATTGAGAAACATTTCATCTTGATAATTTTTGAAAAGAATATCAACGAGATATTGCCATCTCTTACCTCTTCGGTTCGCACAGAAAAACCACCATTAGACTCTAAAGTAGAAGAAGAGACTGTCAAGGAGGAGTGGGAGGAAATGTCGTCGTCTGTGATGGAAGCAATCTCAGCTTCCTTATAGTATTCCTCATTCATCAAGGCAGAAACAGACTCACCGCCATTCTTGGTTTCATCCTTGAAGCTGTTGATAGATGAAGAAGAACTGGCCCTGCGTCTACCAACGGGTTGAATAGTGAGGTACAGAACAGGCTGAGTGGCATTGCGGTAGCTTCTTTTACTGTTCATTTGAGCAGTTAAGCTGAAACTTTCTTTGACAATACCATAGACGGCCAAATCTATGGTGGCAGTTGCCAAAAGCTGGTGTGTTTTCTCTCTGCGAGGCTCGTATAAGTTGAGCTCTAAGACGTTCTTGAAGAAGAGATCACCACCACCTTTGTTCCGAGCAGAGGCATCTTTCAACAAGGTGAGGGGAAGCTTAAAAGATTCGTTGAACTCGATTTTGCCTTCGCCAATGACGGAACCAAGAGAAGGAGCAACAACAGTAGTGGTACCGGAATTGCGGTCACCATTCTCCCATTGGATAAGAACAGAGCGAAGGGATCGAAGGGACTGAGAAGGAGGCCAAGGCTTGATGTCATGAATGTGGATAAGGTAATCAACTTGTACAGGTGAGCATCTTCTGTTGTTCTTTGAGCTTAAACCCAAAACCATTTTGCCTACAAATGAGAGCAAGTCCTGAATCAGCAGTCTAAGAATGCAAAGCAAAACAGGAAAGCTTTGTCTCTAACCTAAGAAGAATTCAACTTTTATATAATCTGAAACAGCGAAACCGTCAAATGCATGAACAAGAAAGCAGCTACATGTAAGTAAAAATTTCTCCTAAATTGGTCTTCCATACACATTATTGAGTCGATTGATCAACAAGATCCAAAATCAAGAAGAAGAAGAAGAAGAAGAAGACTTTGAAAGCTCATTCATTCGCTCATACTATTAGTCGCTTATTACATCAGATCCAAGCAAGTTAAAAGGAAAACCCAACAGAAATATTAGAGAGCCAAAAAAAAAAGCAGTGAGAGATTTAATGTAATGCACAGCACTTGGAGAACCAACACACTATAAGAAGTTAAGAACTCGTCAAAGAAGAGAGAGAGAGAGAGAGAATGAATACCCAACAATACAACAATCTCTGGAATGTGAAATGTTTGTCTCAATTCTTCTTCTTCCTTTGGGTTTTAGACAAGACTGATATTTCCGATTTTTTTTCCTGTTTTCATTGCTTTTTTTTTTTTTTTTGTTTTCTTCTTTGTGTGCGTTTTGGTTAATCAGAAGATGTGAGCCACTGACACAGAATGAAGAATCTTTACTAGTATATAGATTTTGATTAAATCATGATGCCATAAAGAAAAGAAAAAAAGAGATGAATTTCGATTTGGAAAATGACCAAAAAAAAAAAAAGGAGTTTGATCGTGCAAAGATCAAAACGGCGACGTTACAGTGATCTCCTGGTCCTGACTAAAAAAGTGAACACCGACGCGCTTTAATGGTCACAACTTTCGCTAGATTGCCTTTCTCTCCGTCACCAATGCGAGTGGGCAAAGATTAAATGATACCCATTATTTATTATTTACGTCTTCAATATTGGTTATTGCTCAAAATTTATATATATATATATGTACATGTTCTTTTTATATATCTTTTTGCCGACAAAAATATACAGCTTATTATTATATTACCTACATTTCTTTATCCATTTTTCAAAATTATAAATGCATTCAGTTTTAAATATAAGATTTGTGGTTGGTGGCGACGGTTTTATTTTTAAATTTTGTTGCAGAGATGGACCGAGTTTAGAGTAAACTATCTATGAATTTTAAAATAAGTTTGAAAGCACTATCAATTTGGATTGCTGAGATAAGCTTATCATTTTTTTTTTTTTTTGGTGGGAGATAAGCTTATCATTATATATATAGAAATTTCCTCTTTACAAAAAAAAATTAGAGTAATGGGGTTGTAACAAATTTACCAAACACATCAATTTCACTATAATGTAAATTATTGGTAAACAAATTGACTCATCTCCTACC